TTCAAATAAACTTGTCATTTATAAAAATTTACGTTTTTGCTACATATGTTAGGTCTTTAAAAGTTTTAATCCTCATTTAATTTTATACCTTATAGGGTTTATACTGTACAATATTGTATAACTGTAATAATTCAACTCTAAACCTAAAAATTTACAGCCAATTTTGAAAGAGATGCATCTTAGCTCAGGAAATTGTTATTGAATATGTCAATGCTGTGGTAATGAAGTGTTTCTTCTAAGTATATGGTTATTAAATAAATAAGTAAAAAAAGTCTTAATCACATTTTTGGTTCACGTTAAGTAACTTTTGCTAAATAGTTTTTTTCTTTTAATTCTGACAACACAAAGTGAAAATGATCTGGCTATAGAAGTTGACTTTTCATTATTTACAAAACTTTGTGTTTCAGCTTGAGTCACTGCTTCATTCATTACTGATCATTTCTCTGTTATGTGTCAGACACTGTTCTAGGTGGAGAGGACTCTGGGGTGAATCAAAGACCCTGTCCTCATGACAGTTATATTACATCAAAAGAAACAGGCAGTACAATAAACACAGAGATAGACTGTCGTATCAAGTGAACTTAAAGTGCCATGAAGGACAGAGCAAGGTGGTATGGGGTAGGTGGTAGAGAGTGATGGAGGCCTTGAGGGCAGGCATTTTAGATGGGGTGATCTGGGAAGGTCTCCTCCATAAAACAGGGTATCCCAGTTCCTCCCCCAAAGAGCAGGGTAAGGACAAAATGAATGTCGAATGCATGTTGAAAACAGAGCAGTCCTGGCACATGTTCATGACTCCAAAAATGCTAGCCTTTGGTACACCCCCAACTATCCAGTCCTCAGAAACCAGTTAGCACCCCATACTGTGTGCCTTGGGAAGGTCTGACCACCCTCTCGCCTTTGCTGCTCCACCTGGGAGTACTGTTTCCACCTGTTAGAAGTCACTCTTCCCTTAGACCCATCTTTGTGGGGCCTGCCCAGCCCTCCATCACTGCTATTATTTTGAGACAGGGTCTCACTATGTAGCCCAAGCTGGCCTGGAACTCACTATGTAGCCCCAGGGGGCTCTGAACTCACAGCGACCTTCCCTCCTCAGCCCTCCTGAGTATCAAGGTTATAGCTATGCAAATTATTCCTAGCTTATTTATTTGTCAGTACTGAGGATTGAACCTAAGGCCTTGCATATGTTACATCTCCAGCCCTCTTACTTTTTATTTTAAGGCAGGGTCTCACTAATTTGCTCACTAATTTGGCCTGGAATTCATTGTGTAGCCCAGACTGGCCTTGAACTTGAGATCCTCCTGCCTTAGCTTTTTGAACAACTGGATTATAGGGCTGCACTGCCAGTTCCTGTTTGCAGAACTTTTTAATGTCTGAAGTCAACAGTTGCAGTATGTTTTTCTCATTGAAATACATAGAAAAAAAAATCAGCCTTCGCAATAACAGGTGTCTGGAAAAAGCAAAGACTTCTCAAACCTCTGAAAGGATCTTGGAGATTTCTAAAAGTCCTGGGACCACCTTCTGAGATCCACTGTCCTAAGGAGATAAATGTGTTTGGGTGTGTGTGTGTGTGTGTGTGTGTGTGTGTGTGTGTGTGTACCAGCTCAGCAGTGAGGGGTAGGCACAGTTACATGCACAAAAACTAGTGAAGATCAATGGCTATTTCAAATCTCTTTTAGGATTTTCAGAAGGGGGAAGCCCAACTGTGGATCCACCGTTGCCTAGCTTTTCATCTAATTCCACTTTTTCAGACCAGGTATGGCATGAGCTTGATATCACTGAATTGTTTCCAGTAAGCTGCAGGAGAGGGCAGTTCTCTGAAGACAGCTGGGAATAAGGCTTGGGAATGGAGTCTAGATTTTGAGTTGGTTTGATGAATACAAAATATCCCATTTATTCAGTGGCTAAGACCATGCTCTTCTAATTTATACTCCAGATGCCTTGAATAATAATTAGTGTTTCTTTAAAATAGCAAGGAAATGTACTGTGCTTGCCGCTATTCCTTTCAGAGATTCTATTTAAACTTTATCATTTCCTCAGAATAAAACTGTGGAGGCTTATGATATTAAAACCCATATAAAACAAAACAATATAAAAGAGAAAGCAAAGGGACTCTGTATGCACTTGAATAATCTCTCTGAGCTTAATAAAAATGTAAAGATGATAAAGAATTATCCTTATTTGTCAAAATCAAGTAAAATATTACTAAAACATTGGAAAGAGTTCCACTGGTAAAGTGCTTGCTGTGCAAGCATGAGGACGGACCTGAGTTCAGTCCCCAGCGCCCACAAATGAAACAAAACAAAAACAGAGGTGTGATACTGTGTGTTCATAATCCCAGAGCTGGAGAACAACACCCAGGGTTGATGTTTGTCCTACACATGCGCGCGCGCGCGCACACACACACACACACACACACCACGTACATGCACCTGCACTCACAGGAAAAAATAAGATATCTTAAACAGAAACAAGGTTAAAACAAAGTTGTATATTGAACATGATCACAGGCACTTAGGAGCCTAACTCTGTACTTTCCCAAAGGACAACATTGCTCTGCATTAGACACCCAGAGCTGGAGAACAACACCCAGCGTTGATGTTTGTCCTACACATGCGCGCGCGCGCGCACACACACACACACACACACACACCACGTACATGCACCTGCACTCACAGGAATCTACACACACTCCAAATAATGAAGATCTCTATAAAGCAACAAGAGAACACAATGAAAAAATAATTTGTAACTTATTTAGAAGAAAATAATGGGTCAGGAGCCTAGTGAGATTTAGCGATGTTCAAATTCCAAATTTAGCAGCTAATGCAAATCAGAAAGAGCTAGTGATATAATCCTTTTGGTTGCCAAAGGAAGCACAAAACTTGTTTCACATTACTGGTGATGATGTAGACCTGAGTCTCCCAAAGTTGCAAAGACTGTTCAGAATGGATTGTTAACGTTTCAGCAGTACTTTGAGGTCCAGTTCATGCTTAACAGTGTCTCTATCTCACAGGAAGCTGACCTCCTCTGTAAGCCCTGGTATGCTGGTGCCTGTGACCGCAAGTCTGCTGAAGAGGCCTTGCACAGATCCAGCAAGGTCTGGTCATCTATAAATCCTATATTGTGCCCTCAGTTCATCATGATTAATGTTGATTAAATAATTGCACAACAGTGGGTACAGGGATTGTTCCCCAGTACCCACTTCTCTTTTCAGAGCATCCTTTCTATTCATCCATCTGCTTCCTACTTAACCTTTAATCTCAAGGCTCCACAGTCTCTGCTGTTCTTCAAACAGTGGAGAGAAGTGGGTGCCAGAGGGAAGACCTGGTCCTTCATGAGCTCCATCCAGGCGTACACAGGGACAGGCTATTTTGGACCAACTCACGAGGTTAAAGATCTGGATAATGACAGTTTAAAAAAAAAAAAACAAAAAACTAGGAAGAGAGCCCCTGGGGGCAGATGCAATGCAAGTTCCCCTTGTCACTTTCTTTCTCCCTTCTCTCACTTAAAAAAACAACAACAAAGAAAACCGTACATGTCTGTCAGAAGTCACCAATCAGATGGCTGAGGGTTCCTTTCTCCAGCCAGGTGGAAATCATGGGTAGGAAGAAGCTTTTGGGGCGGTGGGCGGGGGCTGGTGTCCTCAGTTTGGCAGAGCACAGCAGTAGGCTATCAGAAGCAGCAGTATGTGGCGCCCTCTAGTGTTGTAGTGTTCGTGCAGGCCTCAGGTATAGGCACCCTTAGACCTAGGCACTATCCAGTGTGCCCGGTGGGGTCACTGCCAACTGGACCATCTTCACCACCTCTTCAGCAGTCAACCAACTGGCTACCTTGCTGCTTTCACAGCTTGGCCTTCCATTGTTCAGCCAGCGCTGCCGCTGCTGGTTGATCATTTCTGGCGTTCTGCCATCTCTTCTGCCACCTCCTCTATCTACTGCTTCTGGGGCCTGTTGTTTTCCTCCTACCAGCTCAGTCCACACCACTGAAAGTGGCAGGGAAAGATAGCCTTTAACTGGGTCTGATGCTGCAACATCAGGCAAGGTAGCCCGGAAGAGTGCAAAAGGAGAAGTTTTGAGCCAATCACGGACTTGCCTCAGTAGCAACCGCAGTCACTAAGGCCTGTGTTTTGAGTCAGTCACTGCCTGCCTTCTAGCCCCCGTCACTGCCGCCCCTCTGCTAGTCCACCAGGGACAGTGCTAACCCCTTTGGCCAAGATGGAAATGGTTGCAGGGTCCTCTGGAGTTCATTGAGGCTTGTGATAAGGAAGACCTGCCAAGGACTGGTGGCTATTTCGTTGAGCCCTAGCTGGTGCTGCACCTCCTGGAGCTAGGGCAATCAATCACAGTCTTCGCACAGTTGTCTCAAGGCATCCTGCTTGAGGAGATTGGAGCTGGAAAAGGGTAGTCCCACTGACTGTGAGAATAGTAGTCCTTTGCTCAAGGCAGACAAGACAGCAAGGTCTCGAGAGCTCAACAGTTTTCAGCTAGAGGCTAGAGTCAACTTGCCCATCCCTGATGAGTTTTGCTTATTTACAGGAAAATGACATCATAAGGAGTGTTCACAATATAAGCTTAAAGAATTATAGTTAACACTAGTATTCATTTTGACACCTACCCAGGGCTTTAAGGGAAGATGGGTGCCCCTCACTTGCCTCAAGAAACACAATATTTCCATACTGCTCTTCCCTGCCCTTGTTTTGGTTCTAGGGATACAGTTAAATATATCAATGCTTTCCAACGGTCCTGTGGCTGACTTCCCCATTTGTCTCTTGTCGGATGAAGCTTACATCATTCCCTACGTTATGACATGTTAAAATTTATTTTGCCCATAGCATTGAACTTGGCAGAAATCTTGGTTGGAGGTGAAATCCTTAGCTTGAGTTTCTAAACATTGCTTGCTTTGATTGTCTTGCTTTAAATGAGGCTCTGGAGAACCTGTTGCTAAAGCTATTTTCTTACCTCTTATATGTAATTTGATACTTTAATCTGAATGCTCTGTAATCATTTTGTTTTAAATTCTGTGTTACCAGACTGTGTCTGGAGTGCTTCAGGTCAGTTTTATCAGGTAGAAAGGAGTCCTTTCAATGTGTAGAAAAAAGATTTTCTCTTATATCAAATATGTTTAAGTTTTGTGTATCTGGGTGTGTCTCTGTGTGGGTATGTGCATGTGAGCTCATATGTCCTCAGAAGCCAAAAGAAGGCATCAGATCCTCTGGAGCTGGAGGTACAAGTGATTGTGAGCCACCTGATGTGAGCATTGGAGCCAAACTGTGGTCCTCTGAAAGCGCAGTACATTAGCTCCTAACTGCTGAGCCATCTCTCCAGCCCCCTAAGTTATCGTCTGAATGATAGTTCTGCTCCATTACTTTGCTTGTGTTCCTCAGTCTACAATCATGTACCTTTCTGTATTCCCTATCAATCACAGTCTTCACACTCTATTGTGCCTCTTAGTTACTCTATTTTATTTTATATTTTTAAATATGGATCCTTAAATTTTTTAATATTTTATTAATTTTTTTCATGTGTATGAGTGTACTGCTTGCATTTGTGTAAGTGCACCCGTGTTGTGCAATGCCCACAGAGGTCAGAAGACATCAGATCTCCTGGAACTGGAAGCACAGATGGTTGTTAACCATCATGTGGGAGCTGGGAATTGAACCTGGGTCCTCTGCAAGAGCAGTCAGTGCTCTTAACCGCTGAGCCACCTCTCCAGCCCCTATTTATTCTATTTTAAATGCTGTGGTTGGGGTTGTAGAGATGGTTCAGTGGTTAAGAGCATTAGCTGCTCTTGCAGAGGACCTGGGTTCAGTTCCCAGCACCCACATGGCAGCTAACAACCATCCATAACTCCAGTTCCAAGGGATCTAATGCCCTCTTCTGACCTCCACGGGCATCGCACCACATGGGTGCACTTACGTGTATGCAAGCAATGCACTCATACACATAAAAATAAAAATAATAAATAAAATATTTAAATGTTGTGATTGTCTCCATATCTTCCTTCAGAATCATGTATTAAATCTTTGTTGGAGTCTACTGAGTCCCTGGATAGCTTGTAATTTTTCCCCGTTGTTTCTGAGACAGAGTTTACTGTTTCTTCCAAATTACTTCCTAAGTTTGCTCGCCTCTTCTTGAATTTCTTCTTCCTGGTTTTTTGGCCAGGTTTTGTTCAGAACTTTAAAATTTTTGATTCTGGAATATCTTATAAAATATTTAACAAAAATTCAGCATTCTGTAATAGTTTTTTCTACTTTAACCTAAGTTTTTTGAGGTGAGCATTTTCTTCAGGTAAAAATTTTAATTCCCAGTCTCCATTTTTTTTCACAATATTTTCATATGAAGTGTGGACATGGGCTTCAGCTCAAGAGAATCCTCTGGGTTTGATCTTACTGTGTCCTTTTACACATTTCTAAATCCTGAAAGCATGATCCCTACCTTAGTTAACACATTAAATGCTAGCAATGGTTTCATTCAGGTTTGTCTCTTGGAAAATAATGAACCCCAGTCAATAACAAAAACACAGAGCTGAATAATCACCTTTTGAAAATAATGTAGATATTCTTCGTAAACTGATTTCTAGCCTACAGAAGCATAAGTGATACTAACCATAATTATGCTTTACTTTTATTAAACAGGATGGATCATTTCTTATTCGGAAAAGCTCTGGCCACGATTCCAAACAGCCATATACACTAGTTGTATTCTTTAATAAGCGAGTATATAATATTCCTGTGCGATTTATTGAAGCAACAAAACAATATGCTTTGGGAAGGAAGAAAAATGGCGAGGAGGTTGGTGATGCATTATTTATCACTTTATTTATATGTTCATACATTTATTTATTTATTTTGAGGCAGAACCCTGATGTATAGCCTAAGCTGACATAGAACTCATGATCCTCCTGAGTATGGGATTATGGGAAATTATTCTATGCCTGGCTAGTAACTTCTTTAACTCAGCTTTACAACTATGCCTTGAGCACAATTGCAGCCTGCCTGTGAAGTGCCAGAGATCAAGCAGAAAAACACAAAAGGAAGGCTGGGCACGGTGATGCATGCCCTTAATCCCAGCACTTGGGAGGCAGAGCCAAGTGTATCTCTGCGAGATTGAGGCCAGCCTGATCTACCTAGCAAGTTCAAGGTTAACTGGGACTGCAGAGAGACTTTGTCTCAAAAAAAAAAAGAATATTACTAGGCTTGCATATATCATAAGTAGAAAATAATATAAAATGCTATGTTTTAAAATGCTGTACTGTGTAATGTGCAATGCATACTGTGTACAGTAAATTCTAGGAGAAGCAGAAGAATAGTGTGATATTTTTTCTAGTCTTTGCATCTATCATTTGTTTATTATGTTATCTGTATATGTGGTATGCATATGTGCATGCATGTTTGCTTGTGTGGGGGAACATATGTGTATGTGGGTTCACAAGCATGAATGTCCACATGCATGTGGAGGCTCAAGGCTGATGTCTGGAAGTCTTTCTTGATCACTCTCCACCTTATTCATTGAGGCAGGGTCTCTCAATTGAACCCAAAGCTCATATGGCTAGTTTAGCTAGCCAGCTTCTCCATCCCTGCCTTCTGAGTACTGAATTACAGGCAGGCTATCACACCCACCTGGCATTTACATAAGCATTGGGAAGCTGAACCTTAGTCCTCATGCTTGTGTTTTAGCCACTGAGCCATCCCTCAGGCCCTCTTTTCATCTATTACTAATAAGTAAACTCTGATCTAATTTATTAGTCCAAGAAGACCTATAAATGAAAGTTGAAATGCCAAGTAGAAGTAAGGTTGTAAAAACCAAGGTCCTGGTTTAGAGCCCCAAAGTTAAGACCTAGAATCTAAACTCAGGTGCTAAGTTAGGTGACAAGGGAAGAATACAGAAGAAAATCAGAAACTTGATTTGAAACATTGGTACTATAATCTTTGGACCAGGATGAGCATAGGCCTAGTGGGAAAACAAACAAACACAACAACAACAACAAAAACCCCACACCTCACATAGGTCTTAACTACCAAACATAAATCTTTAATTAGAACAAAAATGAAACTCAACATATTTCAGTTTAGCCAGCCTGTTCCTACAAGTGAATCTTGAGATGTGAGTTAGAATAATCCATGAAGTCCAGAAAGAGATGCTTGCTCTGGTCTTGAATCATGCATTGGATTTACATCTTTGGAATGAAAGTTGGAGGAAAGAAATGGAAAAAACAATCTAAACAGAGAAAATAGCATAAACAAAGTTCAGTCAGGAAATATTTGAGAGCTAATGTGATGGTGCCCACCCATGAGGTTGGAAGGTTATGAGTTCAAGTCCAGTCCGGGCTCCATAATGAGACCTTGTCTCTACTTACAAAAAGGAAAAAAAGAAAAGAAGAAAAAAGGAAAAACAGGAGCATTTTAAAGATTCTTTTGGAAAGAGCCACACGCTTTCTGAACCCAGCACTCATTTAAAAATTATCCTAATGTCTGAGGTGTCTGTCTTCTCCAATGATGAGACCAGGACTGTGTCTTCATTTCCGCAATTCCAAAACCAGAGTACAAGGGCTTCCTTCAGTGGATACTTGACAGCTAACATTATATGAATGAATTAAATTGTTGATTGAGTGGTGACAGGCAGGAAAAAGGTGTTTGTAAGACAAACTGAAAAGGCATTATGTACTCTTTCACCTATTTTCATTGACTTATTTATTTTTATTTGATGTGTATCTAAGAAATCATTGCCAGATTCAAAGTCATGAAATTTTCCCTCTGTTTTCTTCTGGTATTTTTATAGTTCGAGGCTTTCAATGAAGCCTCAGATAATGAGAAAATGAATCTCTTGATTCTGAGAGTGTTAATCAAGATCAGAATTGGGGGTTGAAAGGTAGATTGCATTGTCATCAACAAACAACATTAAATCACTGTATGACTTCATTTTCCAGCCCTTTAGTTTACAAATTTAAATTTGCAGTTGCATTTGGCTTAGCAACATGCTATGCTAAAGAAACAGAATGAACGTTTTATAGCATTCATCACAAAAGGATTTCATTGGCAATTTCAAGAGGGTTGAAAGGCTGATGGTATCTTCCTGCTTTCCTTTGCTCATAAAATCCTTCATTATTGCTGAAAACTTTATCTTAAAATTCTTTAAAAATATTCCTTAGTCATAGTCAGTGACAGGAGATGGTGGCAATCCTGACACTACAGTGACTCGAAGTGTAGCTTTTCTAAAGAGGCGGTACCCCGGTGAGGAGCTGTCGGACTCAGAGGTCCTGAAATTTTCTCATATAAATTTTGAGTTCCCAAAGGGAACTGATAAACAGATATTTCTCTTGGCTTAAAAAGCTTCATCCCTACCTCAGAATTAATAGGCCGGCACTATATCTTATTCCCAGAATAACCAGCCCCTGGCCTAAAATAAGCCATATATTATTATAATGGTATCTGGCAATACTGAAAGTCAATTAAAACTCTCATTTAAATTATTTATAAGAAAAGATATCTCCTATATACTACATACATAAATGAGAAAATGAAAATTTTGGTACATAATATCAACTATGTGTATATTTTTAAAGACCCTTTCTTTTTTATTTGTTTTTTGAGACAGGGTCTCCCTACTGCCCCAGCTTGCCTAGAACTCACTATGTAGACTAGGCTGGCCTCAGTCTCAGAGAGATCCACCTGCCTCAGCCTCCCAAGCACTGGGACTAAAGGCGTGCACACTACGGCCCAGCTATTGTTTCTTTCTATTTGTATTTGTATGTATATATGGGTCAGTAATTATACAGTTAATGGATTTTTTTAAGTTTTCATGCAGTTTGACATTGCATAATATAATATTGAGTAATTTTATAGCTTTGATAACTGCTCTATTTTCTTGGCCATTGAAATTTTGAGTTATCAAACCAGTTGCTTTCTGTACATACATGAACATCTCAAATACACTAAATTAATACGAAAAGAAATAAAAGAGAACTGAAGGAAATCAGCAATTGATGATTATCCCTAATTCATCTTTTATTAAATCACAATTGCGATTTAATAAATCACAATGATTTCTTAGATACACTCCAACTCCGCTTCCTACTTCAAATTCTACTCAGTTCAAGCCCACTTCTGCATTTCCTAAGCTCAAAGCGCACTTCTTTAAAACCTTGGAATTCACTTCAAGAGCTTGTGCTATTTCGTTTCCTAGTCTTTTAGATTATAGATTTAATTTATGACTATATTTTGCTTAACAACATACTATGCCTGTCCCTCTCTATACCCGCATAAAAAGAAAGTGAGTATATTACAGCATTTATCACATGGGATTTCATTGTGAATTCCAATTTTCATTGCAAAGTACTTAATGACTGAAGGGAAAGTAAGGAGTAAAGATAAAAGCATTTGACAGTCCCTATCGCTTACCTTTCCTCCATGATCCAACATTCAGATGGCCATCCATCTAAAAGAAAGCTAGTATTTCATTTGAAAAGTTGTCTGATATTCTGAACATATGACTTTATTCAATATGTAGATCTCAGAAGTCAACCAAACAATTAATAAAAAGCTTTTTAATTGTTTTATTCTAGTTATCTGTATTGAAAAAATGAAAACACAATAAAATCAATTCTTTAGACCATAGCAGTATTGTAGGACCAATTACTTTAAAATGATAAATGCATTATCTGATGACTATGAACTATGCTTTGTATGCTTAATGAATTTCATTTCATGGTCTGTGTTACATTTATTTAATCTTTCATTTAGAACTTTGATCACTTTTCAAAACAAACTTTGTGACATCCTTAAATTAAAACCTATAGACACCAGGGATTCAAATACAGAAAGATTGACGTATATGATGAGAGTCTAGCATGAGACTTCATTATTACTTGGGCACTAAGTCAGTGCTAAGCTTACAAACAACCATAGATGGAAATATAAGGGTTCGCAAAACTTCATTATCTTGTTCAGAAAGGAAAACAAAATATATAAACTTATCTAGGAAGTAAGTTTTCCTAGTACTCAATTCTAATGACATTTTGTTATATCAGTCCTTGTGTTCAATTGATTTCCATCACTGTAACAAAAATACCTAACACAATCAACTTACAAAGATAAAAGGTTTATTTTAGCTCACAGATCTGAGTCCACAACAGATTGGCCTTGCTGTTTTAGGCCCATGGTGAGGCAACACATCATGGCAAGAGCACATGGCAGAGCAAAACCACTGAAAGGAAGTGAGAAGGCCCAGGGTCCCCTGATTCCCTCAAGAGCACATCCAGAACTAAGGACTTCCCATGAGGCCCTGCCTCTTAAAGGCTGTACCAACTTAACAGTAGTGTCACCATGGGAATCATGCCTTTAACACTCAGACCCTTTGAGAGATCGTCAAGACTTGTACAATGTTACAGGTAATTTGTGTTTTGTGAAGAAAGTAGAAAAGTTTATTTTTATGGCAGTTACACATTTGACAACAAAAAGCAAATATTAAAAAACCTCTAGCAAAATTTTTTAAAAATATTACATCATAACTTAGTGAAGTAACTTCTCTAAGCAGATATGCTAATTGAGGCTAGCAGTGTGGTTTTAGTCTTACTAAATATAAGAAAGTCCAGAACTTACCACTCTGAAGGTTCCAGCCCTTGTTAAAATAGACCTTTCTGGGCAGAATGTGAGCTGAGACCTAATAACTTCACTAACTTGAGAAAATGGGAGGAGATGAATGGCATGGAGCACGTTGCAATAGGAATACCAATGTTTAATTCACTCTTTCTTTCTCTAGTACTTTGGAAGTGTTGTTGAAATCATCAAGAATCATCAACATAGTCCCCTCGTTCTTATCGACAGTCAGAATAACACAAAAGATTCCACAAGACTGAAATATGCAGTTAAAGTTTCATAAAGAAAATGACATCAATACCATTGTTCTGGACATTTCCCCCAAGTTTCTTCTTTTGAGAAAACTTCATATTCTGGATTACAAATCATCAGTAAGAAAACAGAAGATGAAGGAAGCTACTGAGGTAGCGGTCCACTCCTTTGTAAGATGCTCACGTGAACCTGCTCCACTGACCTGATGAAGTCATATCTGGGGAGGTTATCTTGCTACTAATATTCTCCAAATAAATTTATTTAAAAGAAATGGATGTCATGCATTCTCAGTCATGTAAGAAAACGTTTTTTCAAAAGAAGGAAATTATGCCATTTGGATACAACAAAGCTGCTGGGCATTTGGGGGTCTCACAAGAATCACTGTGCATGAATGTAATGAGGCTGTTTACTACACAAGCTTGACAATCAGGTCTTAGTTAAAATGTTTTTATTTTTGTTATGTGTATGAGTGTATTGCCTGCATGTCGGTAGGTGCACCCGTGTTCTGCAGTGCCCAAGGAGGTCAGAAGAGGGTGTTGGATAACCTGAAACTGGAATTATGAATGGTTGTTAGCCACCAGGTGGGTGCTGGGAATCAAACCCAGGTCCTCTGCAAGAGCAGCCAGTGTTCTTAACCACTGAGCCATCTCTCCAGCCTGTCTTAGTTAAAATTTTAATGTATAAATAAGAGAGTATTATAGGTAATGGGTGGCAGATAAGAGAAGATGTAATAACACATCTTTTAAAAATATTTCATTTATTGTTTTTATTTTATGTGTATTGCCTGCATGTAGGTAAGTGCACCCATGTCATGCAATGCCCGTGGAGGACACAAGAGGCTGTCAGATCCCCTGAAACTGGAGTCATGGACAGTTATTAGCTGCCATGTGGGTGCTGGGATACAAACCCAGGTTTTCTGCAAGAACAGCCAGTGTTCTTAACCGCTGAACCATCTCTCCAGCCCCAATAACAGATCTTTTTATGTGTGCCTCCACACAGGGTTGAGTTTTCTAGGTTCTGCCAGATTTTGTTTTTAGCTTTGCTTATCGAAAAATAATTATTCCCTCTTTGATCTGGACATCTATTAAATGGGTTCTAAATTTGATATGAGTTTGGAAGTGAGATAACAGAAAAACTAGGTGGATGAACCAGACCCTAGGAAAGCATCCCATAAAACAAGGGCAGAAAAGCAGATATGAATTAACACTAAAGGATAAAAGATACTATTGTAAACAGCCTTGCCCAAGGTCGTAGATCAGCCTAGAAAACTTCTACTATGGTGTACTTTAGACAGTGCTGAAACAATAAACAGCTAATTAAGCCTAGTAATTAAATGAGAACAGACTTGATCATTGGACAATATAGAGAGATTTGATAAGATTAGATAAGATTTGAGACTTCAAAGCATTTTAAAAGGCCACATGATAATGGTTTCAGAGTAACTCACAGACTCACTTATAAGCACGATAACATTTTTAAGTGTCATAATTTCATGACTACTATGATATGGGTTGAAATAGGTCCAAGGTCTTTACAAATGTAGTTGAGTTAAAATGTCAATGAAGTAGGCTAATCGGGTAACCACATCCTTATAAAAAGAGAAGCTCTGAACCACAGATACAGGGTAGACTGAAGAGACACCCAGAAATAACAGGTGAAGATGAGGGACTGGAGCGATGCACCTATGAGCCAGGAACGTCAGATTGCTGGTGAACCAGCAGAAGTGAGGAGAAGGTAAGGACAGGTTTCAGAGGAAACATGGGCCACTCACACCTTGATTTCAAGCATCAGAACTTGGAGTTGTCAAATTTATGTTCTTTAAGCCATTCAGATTGTGGTAACTTGCTATGGCAGCCTTAAGGAATGAATACTTTTTAAAAAAATATTTTGTTATCTTTATTTTATGTGTCTAAGTGTGTTGCCTGTGTGTATTTGAGTGCACCTGTGTCATGCAATGCCGCAGAGGTCAGAAGAGGGCTTTGGATTCCCCTGGAACTGGAGTTAAAGACAGTTTGTAGCCACCATGTGGGTGCTGGGAATTGAACCCAGGTCCTCTGCAAGAGCAGTCAGTGCTCTTAATCTCTGAGCCATCTCTCTAGCCCCAGGAATGAATACTTCTTACAAGGATATCACATGCTTAGATACATGGAACTTTTGTATAGAAAGTTTCCCCCCTCTTATGAAAACAATGGAATCACTTAGAATGTACTAGAAAGAACAATTTACAATTTAAAAAACTGAGGTAAAACCGGGCATGGTGGCACATGCCTTTAATCCCAGGACTTGGGAAGCAGAGGCAGGCAAATCTCCGTGAGTTCAAGGCCAGCCTGGTCTACCTAGTGAGTTCCAGGACAGCTAGGGCTACAGGGAGACCCTGTCTCAAAAAAAGACAAAAACAAAACAAAAAACTGAGGTAATCTTTTGCAAAGAAAAACACCCAGTAATAGCAGTAATAGTAAGGAGTATCAGCTCTGTCTCGTTTCCTCTGTGCTTTGTGGAACTGTTTTCTATGTAAGTCACCCTTCATTCATTCCTTGTGCTGCCTCTCCTAGGCTGTCCTTAACTGTCCCCCCTCCAAGTGACCTACTCCAACAAGGTGAAGGCACACAGCTGTAAAATTATGGGAATCCATGGTTTAATATTCAGCACTGCTGTGGTGGATTTCTTAAAGCAAAAGCTGAGAGACCATAAGGCCACTGTTTGCAGAAGGACCCTCTCTTCCCCAGTGTGAGGAGGAATTCCTTACCCAACATACCAGTCCCTCATCTCACAGGAAGAGTCCTTTGGAGGGTAGGAAACCCTACCCACTCCTCTCAAGCCTTCCTCTGCATTCTCAATGAAGCTAGAAAAATCTTCAGATCTCATCATCTTGATCTATAATTTTTTTTGAAATATTTTTTATTTTTAAAATTTTTATTTTATGTGTATGAATGTTTTGCCTGCATGTAAAAGTGCACTCATGTTGTGCAATGACCACGGAGGCCAGAAGACGGCATTGGATGCCCTGGAACTGGAGTCGCAGACAGTTGTTAGCTGCTATGTGGGGGCTATGTGGGAAGTGAACCTGGGTCCCTTGGAAGAACAGCAGCACTCTTAACCTCTGAGCCATCTCTCTAGCCCAGCCCCTTGCTCTATAATTTCAGTGCTTGATAAACGATTTTTCACAGAGAAGTTCTCCTGCAAGCTACCTGGTGGGACGGGGTGGGAGGAGCACAGGGTGTAACTGCTAAGGGAAGCATCCCAGGTCCTGTTCTCAGTTTCAAGAATGTTGCAAATCAGATTGCAGCCCTGGCAACAGGAAGGCTGCAAGTTTGCGCAAATGGACAGTAGAGATGGGAAAGCTAGCTCTGTGACGTCAGAAGCCTGCATTGTGCTGGAGCGAGCCAGCCACTGAAGGGGTTTGGTGGCCCCGCACTCTGGGAGCTAGTGTACTTTACTGTACCTGGGAGAGGTTTGCCTAATAGGGAGTAGCAGAGAATGGAATGGGTTTGTGGAGAGCAAAGCTGGTAGTATGTGAACATGATCTTAAAGCGGGACACAAATCCAGTCCTTCAAAATGACTTTACCGTCATGTGTAAGTAGGGTTGTAGGTAGGGTTGCATAGAAACCTCCTAAAGATCTCCTCCCTGAAGTTTAGTCAGAACAAGTGCTGCTGGCACTGAGTGTCTAAGTACAAGGTGAGACAGTATTAACTACAGAGCTAGATAGATGTGACTATCCTACAGATACTCGCAAGAGAATACCAGGTATTCTATTGCTTATCGAAATTAGGCTTCTTTTTTACCACTATAAGCATGTTTTTATTTCTGTAAAATAATTTCTTTATAGTAATAACAGTGAACAAAACTACATTTGTTAAGCACCTACAACTTAGTTGTGCCTAATATTAATTCCCATCCCCTAGCTGACATCCCTTTTATAGTTTAAAATTGATTTGTGAATAGCTCTTCAAGAAAAGGTGTGAATTGCACCATTACTTTAAGTGTTTATGAACATTTAATAATTTTGATTACACTCAAACCGCTAAGATTTTCTCTAGATCTTGGGTTTTAATCTTTTAGTAACTGCTAACTTCTTTGAATCTCATGAGAGCTATTATTGGGTTTTGCACCCCAAAGAAGAGTACATTTAAGTACACAAAAACTCAGTATTTTCCTGAGATTCCTGAGGTCTTAGGGCCTTTCCAGGGACCAAAGATCCAGGGCTGAAGACCCTTGTCTTACATTCTTCTTAAACTTTGATATAACAAAATAGCCGAAACATCACACTAAAGCCCCGAAAAAGCCTAACAAAATTTCTCCAGTGAGGAGTTGCTCCATTCAGTGAGTTAATACAAGGGCTTCTGAGTGAGTAGCATCCATTGTAACCCCAGCTTCCCTGACTCTGTATGCTTGGCTTCTCCGTATGAAAAATTGAGATGATGATACTATATTGTCGGATTGTTCAATGAGAGTATTTAAAATTTTTTAATATTTTAAAATTGTAAAACTTCAGATGTATGAATTATCATTTATATATAGCCAGCCACGGCTTATGGAGCCTACTGTGTGCCAGTCAGTTTGTATGTCAAGCACACAAAATACAGAGAAAAATCGTAAGTCTTTGAAAGTATCCAAATAACCAATCAAATATTTCAAGTCAGAGTTATTTTATAGAATCATCAAGCAGGATTTTTAATCTAGGAATTACAGTATTTAAAATGTCTTCCAATTAGAGAAATCTTGAAGAAAAATGTGACTAGACTAAAAATGCTTACGATAAACACCACAACTTCAATGTCTCAGCCTTTCTTCCTCAAATATTGAAGTTTTAAAATCTCTCTGCTTTTTGTTTCTTATAAATAGGCCAGTTAGACCTAGATTGAAATCCTGCTATATCATCTTGGACAAGTTATCCAGTGGGCTTGCTTTTCCATTTACCTTTGAGGGGTTTTATGAGGATAGTCAAATGCTTAGGACAAAGTAAGTCCTTAAAACCTGGAGTCATGGATAGATGCAGCAGGGTACAATGGCACATGCTTTAATTCCAGCACTCAGGCGGCAGAGGCAGGCAGTTCTCTATGAGATCAAGGCCAGCCTGGTTTACATAAATAAGTGGTGTTTTATGAAGAGTTTATTTTCTGACAGTAAAGGAACGTGGCTGAGAATGAAGAGGCTGAAGGCAGACAGGCACTGGATGAACTGGAGTGCTTAGACTCAACAGCAGTGTGACATTATAAAAAAGGGAAATAGAGGAAACTTAGTTAATGAATAGTGTCCGTTCTGTGGATATTTAT